GTACCCCTCCAACCCTCCCTCCCGCCCGGGCCATGAACCCACCTTCACGATCATGCCGGTGACCACGTAGGGGTCCATGTTGGACGAAGGCCTGCGGTCCTCGAAGTATCCCTTCTGCTCCTTCTCCACGTCGCGGCCGATGCGGATGGACGCCCCGCGGTTGGCGACGCCGTACGAGAACTTGTCCATCGACGCGGTCTCGTGCTTTCCGGTCAAGCGGCGCTCGTTACCCTGCCATCACCCCGTCGTGTGTTGGTCGTTTTGATGTTAATGTTTTTGTCTTGTTGTGGCACACGGCGCTTACTACCCTGTCGCCATCTATGCTGTAGTTTGTTGGTAATACTTATGATGATCGTTAGAGGAACGGTGGGGGGAACTTTTGAGACAGTCGCACAACTCTTCAACAGAAAGGGGGACGAACAACCCGTGCATACACCCCCCCGGGAAGAACCCCATAACGAGAGAATGATAAATAAAAATAAAAAAAAGCCAACCCCGGAAGCAGTAAACATAGCACGGCGGTCTGAAGAGGTAGAAAAAAAAAAAAAAAACGCGCCAAAATGAAAACAACGCAGGGGGCAGCGAACGGGCGATACAGTCTCAAGAGACCACAAACGGAACAATAAACCGACCGCACGCAACCACACAAAAAAAAAGTAGTCACCTCGCCGTAGGCAGCGATGTGCTCGTCGTGCTTCTCGCCGAGCTTCTCGATGGCGGCGATGATATCCTTGTAGCCGCCCTCCTCGCGCATGGGCTTGGTGGAGTAGTTGGTGTGGCAACCGGCCCCGTTCCAGTCTCCCGGGATGGGCTTGGGGTCGAGCGACACGATCACGCCGAACTGCTCGCACACGCGCTGGAGCAGGTAGCGGGAGATCCACAGCTCGTCTCCAGAGGCGATGCCCTCGCAGGGGCCCACCTGAGAATGGTCACGGGGCGAGTGGGGTGGGAAGGTTGTGAGCTGGAACCAAGAGTAGGAGGCACTGCAGCAAGGAGGGCAGGAGAGGACACTGCGGAAACGATTGCACGCAGCTCGTCTTGGGAGGCGACGTCTTCGCAGGCCAGGGCCTTCCTTTCGAAGCATTACTCATAGCGTTAGAGTCGCCGATGCCGGGCATATACACGAACCAGCCTCGCCTAGCCAGGATGCAATTTTTTTTTTTCTTGTCTTCACTTCAAATCAGCGCTCACAGCACTAGTGCCGTTTACTCTAACCCGTGGTCACACAGAAGAGCCCTTCTCTACCCTCCCCTCCTGCGGTACTTTGCCTTCGATTTTTAATGCGAGAAGAGTTCAGCACTCTATTCCTTCTGTGTACACACGAACTAGCGCTATCCACTAGGCCAGAAGCGGAAGCGAGAGAAAAACTCAGTTTGCAAGAAAAGCTCGCTTACGCCGGGATTCGAACCCCTGACCTGACCTCTAGAAGGTTTCGAGGATACCAACTAGACCACCGGGGCGACCGACATCTTTTACCATACGCTAAATACCACGGGGGGGGGAGGGGGGGGGGGGGGG